AGCATCAGGGTCAACAGTTATCACAACAAAATCCCATCAAATAGAGACGAAATGTTAAAGAAAGAAGGCAAAGACAACATAAATACACAGGCTTACCAGATTTTGGACCTGGCCACCTGGTATTTTTTGAAAAATGAATATAGGATAATGGGTAATAATTTTTACTGTGGCACTACATGAACTCAAATTCATCTAAAAGTAAATAAGAACAATTTTCTGATGTATAGCTTCTGCTGGAGAAAAAAATACTGAAGCACCTTTACAGTTAAAAATGTGTGGGATCGGTTTTTTAGACTTTTTGTTGTTGTTGTTCTGCTCTAATGAATACATGACAAGGATACAGTACAAACCACATTGAATGTATGGCAGCAGACCATCTATTTTTGAAACAAACAAGCCAGAACTGTTCGTGCCTTAGCATTTCAGATTTCCCAGACATTGGAGAGCTGATCTTGGGCTGTGTTTTGTAGTAGAAAACAGCACATGTAACCATTGTGGTGAGTCCCTTGGATTCGGATGAAAGCAGAGTCTGCCTCCCAGTGGAAGTACTTGGGGCGATTGACTTAAACGAGCGGAAAATGACTGTAGGAATTGGGAGCGATAAACTGGCAGTGATAACTCTTACACCACTTCTTCAGTCGGCAGAGGTTGCTGGTGAAGCTTCTGGCTTATTTTTATGCAGACTTTTTTCATACTTTATGTGCCGTGGTGTTGATGTTCTTAAGTTTAAGTCCTCGTCCATGTTTAATTTGTATCTGTGCTTTAAAAATCTAGCAGAATGCTGGGGAAATTGGTGGTTTCATCCCTCTCTAACAGTGAATTGGCACATACCAAAGTCCTTCTGAGGCCTTCTCCAGTAGCAAGGTACTTTACCCATTAGTTTCTTTTCTTCTCTGTCACAAGCATGAAAACATTTAATGTACTAAATGCAGTTTTTAATGCTGTTAATAACTGCTTGTGAAAAGGAGTGGAAGCTGTGTATTGACAGTATCTGGTAAAGTGCCTGAAACAAGACACTTGTTTGCCATAAAATGTCATGTATGTAGTGGGAGGGGAAGGAGATGAAAGATGCAGCAGCACTGGATTGTGTTCTGGCATAGCCGGTACTTTGTGATATGATTGTAAATAAATAAGTGTTTTTAGCATAGTGCCTTCTTTTTGGGAAGTGCTTCAGGTTTGCTGATAAAGTTGTCACCTTAGAGCTCTGTTTTTTTGTTCTTACTAATAGAAGATGTATTTGTCAATCCATTAAATATCTAAACTGTCTTGGATAAGCTAAAAAACCCCCCCAAACCCTTATTTAAGGAAAATAAGTTTTAAAATGTTTTAAATAGAAAAAAATCTAAGATGCAGAATTGCAATGAGGTTTGCATTTTTAGTTGATTTTATTGGAAGGGTGTTTATGTTGTGGGTGAAGGTAGCTTTAGGAGTGTTTAAGTATTGTTCCTGGAGCTCATTAGTGTTGAGCTCACTTGGATGTAGTTTTATTTTTCACCTGGAACAAAGGTTTAAACTTAAGTTTGTCGCCCGTGCAGTCAGACTGTGTGTTGGAGTCCTGTAGCTTTTTTGTGGAGGAAATGGATCTGTCTGCTTTGTGATGCCACTTTTCAGTTTCTCATAAATGTGTCACTCTTTGTTTCCTTGGGAAGCAGAGGAGAGAAGTTTGAAGCTGGGCCCTCACTGTCCTGCAGTGTGCAGTGATATTTCAGACAGTGGAGCTTGGTTGTACCTAAAAATGATTGATATTAAATAGAAATTTTTACTACCCACTTACCATTACCTTTTTAGAATAACTGGCTATACTAGGGATCTATTTTAGAGAAAAGCACAGTTCTGTGCCCTCAATAAATGTCAGTTCCTCCTATCTAGTTTAGTTCTGTGCTAAACAGAACATTTGTCTCCCTGTTGTCTGCCAACACTAGGTGTGATTTTTTTATTTTTTTTTCCCACTTCATGTAAATGATGCTCCTAAGAGGAAAAGGGAATCTTTTCTAGATAATAAAACTTTCCTTGGCATCATAATTTAGTTAATGCCATAGAAGGTGTTTCTAGGATAAAATAACTTCTTTGGTTCATGTAATTCCTACCTTTGTAGTTTCTTGGTCTTTAACAAGAACATAAGAATTTATTTATCCTAATAACATGCCTTCTGGCTGCCTCCTAAGAAAATAGGAGCATCATTTTACAAACATATCATTGACATGTTAAGGACATAAATTAAACCCCTTTGTATTTATAGGATGTGTATTAGCTTATACCCAAAGTTTAAAGGTATTTAAGCTTGTAGCACTTGAAACCCCCAAGGCTGAGCTCCTAAAAAAGTAAGTAGTGAGATCATTAGTAGGAGAGCAGCAGGTTAATCCCCAGTCCCAGCTCTTCCCTTATCCTGCAGTGTGCTGTGACACTCGAGTCACAAGTTCATTGCAGCTTCACTGCCAGGCTCCTTCCCTCTCTTCCGCTGCTTTTGCCTTGTCAGTAACTCCTGTCAATTCATGGTTACTCAGTCTGAGAGAGAAGAAGAATTTCCTTTTTTTAGTGCTAATTTTCTGTTGATTTAGGTGGTTGCAGTGACTCAAATGAGTACCAAAGTTGATACCCAGGAAAATCCACCATTCCACCCTGAGAAAGGAGAGGGTTTAAACTGGATCAACAAGCTAATCTGACTCATTCCTTGCCACACAGGCACTCTTATGCTGGTACAATGGAGGGCAGGAGTGGAATTACCTTTTGGAGATGAACAATCTGTTTTTATTAGCAACTGAGCGTTAAATCTGCTTGGGCCAAACTGAAATCACACCCCCAGGCTGTGCAGTTCATGAGCAACATTTGCTGCCCCAGCCGTCTGTTAAACTCCTGCCTTGGAAACTGGTTTGTTGCAGGTCAGGATGCCTCTTCCTGACGGTCTGTGTGTGCCCTCCTGGGTTTTTCAGAAACACACTCGTGCAGAGAAGTGCCTGAGTTTGCTCGGGACTGGAGCTGAGTTGTAGATTTGCTTATGCTGAAGTGTTGAATGGGTCGAGTTGTGGAGGCAGGAGTGGGAGTGCTGCAATGGCTCTGGCCATCTGTCAGTGTTATGTTCCCTGGCAGAGCAAGGGGAAGCATTTAAACAGCCTTAGGATTCATCCAGGGTTGTGCTAGAGGTGGGTCACAGCTGGAGGCTACAGATGATCTGAATAAGGTAGCTCAGAATTACCCTACATGCCCTCTCAGAGAGTGTTTATTCTCTCAGTGTTCTGAAGATCTGCCTCCTTTTGAGAGCAGAGACATAATCAATAGCAATTTCGGTCTCACAGCATCCCTCTTTCTGTGCAAGACCAGAGGTGTTCTCAGAATGTGGAGCAGCAGGGAGGGCAGAGTCAGGGAGAGACAGGCTGTCTCCTGTTCAGGACTGGGAGTGAGACATCAAGGACTGGAGTTGATGTGGGAGCTAGTTTAATTCTTGTGTGCTTTCTTGAAAGAGTTTCAGAAGAACCTCTGGCTGAGTGTGTGCCTGTGTTACAGCCATGCAATCCTCTTCTAGATCTTCTGTAGCAGAGGCTGTTCAGTAGCTGTGACAAGCCCTGTGTGCTCCGTGGAGCTGTTGAGGAAGGTCCTGCTGGGTTTGCTCCCAGGGGGTGTTGATTTCTGCGTTGGTGTGCTGAGCACTGCTTTTCCTCCCTGTTGAAAGCAGACGTTGTTTGGGACACAGCCATGGACCTATTCCCAGCCTGACTGCAGAGGCACTGCTGTTTGTAGCAGGGTTCAGGTCTGCCTGGAGAAGGGTTCTGTGGATGTTAGAGAGGCTCATGGAAGGTCTCCCTTGTGCTAGAAGTGATGCTGAGACCCAGGCAGCAGCCTGGAAAAGGGTGCCTTGGAGGGGTTGGAGGCTGGAAGATCGGCAGGCAGGGGACAGGTGTGTGCTCTGGTGTGGAAGGCACAGGGCCTGTGAGAGGGGTCTGCCAGGATGGCCTGGAGAGCTGCCACGGGCAGTGCCAGGGCAGCAGTGCTGGGGGATGCGGGAGGAGAGGCTCCGGGGAAGCAGAGAAGGGTGAGCTGGGGTGGTGAGGTGTGTCCTTGTGCTCACTCTGCTGTTGCTTCCAGTTTGGGAAGATGTGCTGAGCACCAGCTCTTCTCCAGGGACCCAAAGCATCAATTTCCAGCATTCAGCGGGGCTTGCTGGGATTTCTGTCCTCTCTGTTTCAAGGAATACATGAAAACAGGTTTATTGTACCTGTGCAGAGCATCTGTTTTCAAATATAACTGTCCCTTAAACCCATATTGCAAAAGAGACCTTCCACTTAGGTAGGTACATGTTTGGGATTCTCCTCTGCACCGTTCATTGCCTCAGGCCCTCCTTGCTTCACAGTCCAGGGAGTTTGCATGTGGAGCATAGGCTGATGAGTCTGTGTACATTTGGTTTGCTTTTTTATTTTTATATAGATGGCTACATGAGTATTTATAAATCAGTAATAGGGATTTCTTTCTTTTTGGTCTCTTCTTTTGTGAAAGGAAGGCTCACTTGCTGAGTGCTAGCAAATACTGACAGCTCTTGAGTGAATTCCAGATGTAGTAAAAACCTGCCTCTTTTTGATGTTACTTTTAAAGCTCAGATGTAAACTAATAGAGGCTACTGTTTGGTACAGTTAGAAGTCTGTATTATGGGCTTTGTTATATTGTCTTGACAACTCCTATAATTTTATTCTATAATGAAGAGATTGGGCAGTACATGAAGATACTCAGTTATTTTGTTTATTAAAGCCTAACCCAGTGAGTAACCTTTTTATCTTTTCAGTAAATGTTAATAGATTGGGGGGGGGGGCGGTTTGCAAGATTCACTGAGAAGAGAAATTTATTGTGCATTTTTACAGCTATAAATTGTTGACCAAAATGTATTTTTGCAAGAGTATCTTGGAGTCTCTGGGTTGGAGTTTGGTTAGTATGTGTGAAGTCATGGAAGTCAAAAAATGGGGCAGTGAGCATCCTGCATGCTCACCTCCATCAGCAAATAGTTAATCCACTGAAACTGGAAAAGATTATCTTTAAGAACTGAATAGCTGTGTAAATAGAAATGTTTGCAGAAACGTAATAGGTACAAAATGTTTACATTTGCCTATTTTAAATGTGATTTGCCAGCACAGGTTTTCATGACTTCTTTCTGCAAAGGACAATAAATAAAAATTTGATATATAGTGGAGCAAAATCAATAAATACAATGATTACTATTTTATTAAGTCTTTTTGTAAAGTGTTCAATATTTTATTACTCAGGCTGAAATGCATTCTCTGTGTGGGTGGAGACACAAAGATAGGTCTATTTTTTTTCTACCTCAAAGAGTAGAAGCAGTGTACACTGAAAGCCACTGGGGAGTTAGAATTTGTCAGGGAGACAAGGGTCATGAGCTGCTGAGTTTACCCAAAGCTGTTGCAGCCACTTTGGTTGTAGCCAAGGGGCTCAGGTCTCAGCAGTGGCTGTGCTGTGTGTTGCATCTGATTTTGTGTTGTCAACTTGCATGCACTGGGCCTGGACTCTCTGAGGTGATACAGTGCAGTATCAGATGAGGAAAAGGTTTTATTTATTACAAAATACGAGGGAAAAAATGGAGGATGTGTTTTATAATCGCCATACTTAATGGGAATTTCTATTTTTAGATTTCATGCAGTTGCCTGTGACAACTCCTGTTGAGTAAACTGAGACTGGAACATCTTGTATCAGCTCTTGTACCTGTACCTGCCACGATGAGAAGTTGCATAAGGTTCCTTTTTTCTTGTTAATTCATGCTTTTATTGTACTGTAATTTTTGTAAGCAGGTCAATTAGTAAACACATTCCTTTAAGGATTTTTTTCTTACTCATCTAACAAAAGTTTTGTTCTAAAACTGAAGGGTATAACAGTATTATTATAAGTAGTATATCAGGCCAAATCACTGATTATGTATTAAGAAGGATCAGTCCTGAAAAGTACTGGTTTACTTCTCCAGACTCATGAATGAATGTGCTGGTTGCTGCTTCTTTTTGCTGTTGAAAAAGTGTGTCAAACTTAGTTTATGGTCTTGCTCTTTCCCATTTGGTGACTGCCAGACTAAACATGAATTACATGTAACTGAACAGCTCTTATGTATGTCCAGAACCCTTTGCTTGAGCAGATTTTCTATAAATTGTATCCTTGTATAAATTAGCAACCCTTTCACCCAGGATTTCACCTCACAACCTTCCCTGCATCACTAGTCAGGGTTTAAGCACTGATTCCTCAAAAACCCCAGCAGGATTATGTGAAACCAGGATGAACACATGTTCTGTAAGAACCTCAGTGTTCACAGCTAATCTGCAGACCAAACCACTAAGTTAAAAACACATGACATGTGGTAATATTCTATTTGTCAGTGATTGAGCAGGAGCTACCTGAGAACAAAATTCCAGTGTTGAAAATGCAGTGAACTTTCTCACTGTGCTATAGTCTCACACCTGAAAAAACTGCTTAGGATCATGTCCTCTGCTTCCTGCCCCAAAATGATGGGTTTGCTTACACTCTTTTTATGGTCAGAAGCAGTCATATACTTCCACAATTAATAAGGTGACAACATATTGTACTTCAATGAAATTTTAAAACTGTGTATAGTATTTCACTAAACCTTTCAAAGTTTTGTTTTTGTTGGGTACTATTTATTTAAAGGCAGAATATTAAACAGCAAACACTGCTTCCCTTTTAGGCCATCCAGATCTGATGCAACCTTGAAAATGTCACTGAAACTTCTAATTTTTAGATTAGTTCTGCAGATTGATTTTTTTTAATAGTGTATTTTCATTTTGAGTTTTTAAAATAGCATACATTAACGGTTTGAAATAGTAATTGTCACAGAGAAGAATGCATGAGCAAGCATCGTACCTTAATGAAAACAATCTTATTCTTTTACATTGTCATTAAAAGTGGTTTTCGTAATGGAGGTTAAATGACCTATTGTACAAGAAAAAAAACAACAGAAAATGTACTGTCATGTTCAGCTGCATTGGTTTTGCTTGCTGTAAAACATAATTGCCTTACAGCTAGCACCCCAGCCTCAAGTCAGGGTAGAGTTTTGCTTTACATTGTCACCAAAAGGATATTTTTGTTGAATGTTTAGTGATCCATTTAGCTGATGATGTTCTCCTGGGAATGGCAGTGATAAATCTGTTGGGCACAAAGGTGTTTTAAACTGCATCTCCTTTGCTTAGTTGGTATTTTCCTCTTCAACAACATAGCAAACAAATGAACAAAATAATGAGTTAAAATGTAATTTCTGTTCCTCAGTTACACGAGGAAAGAGGGGCAGCCTTTGTACTGCCACCAAGGAGATTCCTTTGTGTCATGGCTCAGCTCTCCTTAGAACCATCACCCTACAAAGATACTGGAGCTTTTGCTTCTAATGAAACTACTGGAATGTATTTTTCTTTCTTGTTCCAAAAGGCATTGCACTTTTCCGATGTCCAGTTACAATGGTAATTACAATTAGTTACAAGCATAGATGCTCTGTAAATATCACAGTCTGAAATCTATTGCCAAATTCTTAAGACATTGGCACCAGAGCTCGTTCTCTTTTGCTGAAGTTTGCTATCTCCTAATTGCAAGAAAAAAAAGGAGAAAAAAAATGCAGTCTTACTTGGCCTGTAAGACAATAAACTTCATTTGCAAAAGATAATTTTTAATCTTAAAAACATTACATTTTGAGTGAAAGAAAATTGTCTTAATTTTTCAAATAAACAGTTTTCAATGGATGACTTGTAATAGCCTCACTTTTGTGCAGGAGTAACTGAAGTAATTAGCAATTTACTTAGGGTAAGAGATGTACATCAGAGCAGGATGCTTGCTTTTCTGAGCTGGGGAGATGTACGTGACATTTCCCTTTAGTCTGTCCTGTTGGAGTGTTCCCCAGACCCTTTCTTGCAATGCAGCATTTTATGAAATGGTGTGCAAAGCACAATTTATGTTTGCAATTCAAAGCAAAGATTTCCAGGTTTGGGGGTTGTTATGCAAAGGTGAGCCAGAAGAGAGAGACGTGACACCTTGGCATGGTTATCATAGAAATAGTGGAAAAGGCTCATCTCCTTCTGAGGAAGGAATAAAGCTGTTGGGATAACTAACTGCAAAATGAAATGGGAGGCTGCTGTTCTGGAAAGGCTCAGTGCCTCTCTAACCAAGGAAAGTTATGAAACCTAGAGAAAATATTATTTGAACAACCTTGACTGTTTGTCAGACAGGGAATTTCTTTGGGGAACAGTTTGCCTAAAGGTATTAAATGAGTTGCTTTAATTTTCATAGGTACCAATGTTTGGTTAAATTCTGTTTCTACTTTTTAGGCAGAGAGAAATTCTCCAGCTTTATAAGGAGAAAAAACATGTTCACCTCCTGAACTGGGCCAGGCAAAATAATAGTACAACATAGAACTTTCTAAAAAATGGGTAAAGTCTTGTTGTGTGAACTCTGCATTCAGCTTTAAAACATCTTGTTCTGTGCTGCTATCAACAACAGTATAATTTTTCTGGCCTGCAGTAGCTGATTGGCTAGCTCATGATTATTTTCATTAAGTATCCTTCAGTGACAGCCTAAGAACATAAGTCTCTTCAAGCAATTACTGAATTTGCCCTTTAGCCTATTTAAGTTTTTTTTTTATTTGTCGTTGCTCTTTTTGTCTTTGATATGAAAATTAAAATATATGCACTTCCATTTAATTTTTTAAATATTTTAAATCTCTTCCCCTTCACTGCTGCTTGTTGCAGTAAGTCCCTACCGTGAAGAGCTCCTGTGATTTATTTATGTGTCTTAGGGTGCTCTTCTGAACAGACTTTGATGCTGTTTGGTTCCTTCAAACTGCCTCTAATGATGCAGTGTTACAGTGAGATTACAGCAGCTTGTTAGGGAAAAGGATGATCATGAAATATTTTTGCCTGGAATTTTAGGAAGTTTTATGTTTCAGGGAAAGATGGTGGATTGATCCATTCCCAAAAGGACTGCAGATCCAGCATTAATGAAGCAAGGTTCCTTTCTGTTACTACTGAAGCATCTTACATGATTTAAACATTACTTTTTTCAACTCAAATTTCTTTTCATTAGGGATTTCAGAGAGTTAATGGAGGAAAAATCAGAGTGTAAGACATCAGCACAGAATAATGCATCTTATGAATGAAAATTTACTTAATTTAGAATTGTCAAAAGCTGTGCATCTTACATATACATCATTATTAGTTGATTGGTTTATGATTCTGCTTTTAATAAGTTGTATCAATACATTTGAAAGGTTAACTGAGCGAAGTGCATTTTTAGTTTATTATGTACAAAATACTGATTTTTAGCTAGTGGCTCATTGAATGTTGCAGAAATTAATCTTTAGCCATTATGGCAACCATCCCTGATTTCCATAAGGATTTCAATTATTTTGTTGATTTATCTTTTTAATCTTTTAGAGAGATTGTGTAATTTCTTGGCTTAACAGTAGAATACATCAGAAAGTTGCACTGTCATTGTGGTCATTGGATATGGTAAATCATGCTTTTAAAAAAGACAAAGTGACTATCCTGGCATCATTAGGGACTCTGGAAAAAGTTACACATCTCTTCATAGTGCTGTTGTTATAAATTTGGGGATTTTTATAAGCTCTTTTCTAATATTTACCCAATGTTACTTAACTCATGTTTATTGATACAAGTGGGCCCATTGAATAGTGGTTCTGAGCCTGAAATCATAGGGCTGATGGAATAAAGCAGCAAAGTTCTGTCACGTCCACAGCTTTCCTTCTCCTAGGTGGGTGTCCCACTGTGTCCAGTGCTTGGGAAACTTTCAACATCCTTGATGGTCAGGGTTCCCATGTGCAGAGTGGTGACACTGCCTGTGTTCCTGGGGCTTGTTTGGGGGCTGATAATTCACAGTCAGAGAGTCCTAGTGAGGGTGCACATGGAGCTGTGATGTTAAAAAGGATCTTTTAAATTGTATAATCACAAAACATTTTTTAGATTCACATGTCATTGTGCTGCAGTCTGCTAAAGGGGAGTGGAACAGTTCCACCTCATGTATCAGTGTCTGGTTTCATTTGTGTATGGGGTTCAGACTTCGAACTCCTGCATTAAGAGACCTCCTGGGATGTGGATTATAATATTGTGTTTAAAAATATCCCCCTGCCAACAGTGATAGTGTACTACTAACCTTTTCTTTTCTCGTTTCAGATTTTTTTGGATCCCTGTCTAGCTGGTCCATGTTTCCAAACTCTGTCTTGTAACATTCCCAAGCAGCCAAAATGAAGTTGAAGCATAACATCAACCCTGTTCTTCTACAGTTGATAAACTTCATAGTCCTGCTGTACTCCCTTGTAACATACATTCCATGGTACATTCTTTCAGGATCAAAGCAAGCTATAGCAAAAGCCAAGCAGGTTAAAGCCAGACCTGTGAATAACAAGCCTGGGGGTGCATACAGATCTGTTAACAGTCTGCATTGCTTAGCTTCAGTTTTATATCCTGGCTGTGATACACTTGACAAAGTTTTTAAATATGCTAAAACTAAATATAAGGACAAAAAACTCTTGGGAACACGTGAAATTCTGAAAGAGGAAGATGAAATCCAGCCATCAGGAAAAGTTTTTAAGAAGGTAAGTCTTTTTGCAGTCTGCCTTCAGAAATTTTTTTCCAAAGTACATTTATTTTCTTATGTAGCACTTCTAGTCCAGTAAACCAAAGCTGGGGAAAAATGCATTTTTCTGCTTAGATTCAGTAGCTGTGAAAAGAATTAAATTATCTAACTCCTAATCTTTCAATACTTAGCATTTAAACCAAATCTAAACATTTTTGTACTCTAGAGTAGATATCCTGTTTATGGTTTCAGTCAAAAAAAAGCACACATATGTTTTAGGTATTTGTTTTAATATTCAGCTAGTAATGTAAGTGGCTTTAAAGGTTTCTTTTTTAAATGAGTTTTTAAAAGTCTCCCTTTGTGTTATTCTGAACTGTAATCAGATAAATATACAAAAATTACTAGATGCCAATACTCAGATGTGCCTTTCCAGTGGACTTAGTTGTGATTTAAGGATTTGCTGTTATGTCCTGGGAATTTGGGACTTAAATGAATTTTTTTGTTTGGAAAAGGATTGCACAGATTTTATTGGAAGAGTCTTTTTTTCTTTGAGTCTCCTTTAAGGTGAACTACTCTGCTAATGTATAATCCTGGTGTGTGTGTGGGAGATGTGGTTTCAGTGCCTGACAACAGCTCTGTTTCAAAAGACTGACTTTTTATAGTGTGTAATGTTCAAGTCTATATTGTCATTTGCTGCTTCATCTTTGTTCAGATACCTTGAAAAATGCACTTTTTCCTGAAAAAGCAAGGCAGAATGCTGCAACAGAATATGCATATTTGTGCATCTCTGTGTGTTAAAGGTCGGCATTTCTGTATTAGAAGTTAAATCCACGATAGATAATTTTTAGTTAAGATTAGTTTCCATGCAGATCAAAAAAATTTCATGTTGCTAGTTTTAATTCTGATAGAGGAGTATGTTCAAAATAGAATTTGGTTAATATCACAATATATGACCAAGTTCAGTTCTATTAAAGTCTTTATACCAGCTTTGTTAGTGAAACTCTCCCTTAGCTGTGAGTTCGTTTGGCACTATGAAGGAAATGCTGGCATGAATGGTTCCATGTGCTCTCGCTTGATGCACATTTTGCTGCCTCATTACCCTATGAAGAAACAGAAAGTTCCATGTTGCACAAAGAACAGCTTCTGAGCACAGATCAGAGTTTTGGCTGCCTGTGACATGTGCCCTGTTTTTTAATCATAATTGTGAATGTAAGACTTAAGAACTTAGGAGTTTTAGCCTTTTCCATTATGCAAGCAAGGCATTGTGAATATTGGAAAACTGAAGAATGGTTGTGTTGATCCACCTAAATTACTTGTTTGTGAGTATTTAGAGTTAGAAATTACCCAAGTTAGGTAATTTTGTCTAAGCTTGACACAGGGGTTCATTATGGTGGATTGCCATACTTGCCCTTGGGTTACTTTGTTCCAAGTTGTGGCATTATCACACAAGTCCACTGCTAATATTTTTTCCGTTAGGGAATACAGTGTTTCTTAAGACCCCATAGCCTGTGTTAGCAAGTGAGGAAAGTCAGAACATTTAGCAAGATACCTTGTTGATTTTAAATGTCAGGGTTCTCTTCTTTTGATTTCTGTCTTCCATTCCAAGCACCTTTTTATTGCCTGGTTCCCTTTAGCAAAGCCAGCTAGCTGAGGTTTGGTGCAGTTCTTCAAAAAGGTGCACAAGTTTAATTCTTAGGTATAATGCATGCTATTTCTATACCATACAGGATCTGCAATATATTTTTATATTATATATATATATGTATCTCAAAAAAAAAAGTAAAATATTGAGCTTGTGATTCTTGGGAAAACTTTCAGCTAAAATTATTTAGAGCTTCTTAATATCTTTAAGATCAGATATTCCATTAATTTATTGTGAGAACCATAATATCTCTGATAATCTGTAATTTCTTGAATTTTTATGATAGTGTATTTTTGCAAAAGTATTTGTTTCTGTGCAGATTCTGAAGTAGCAGAAATTTATGTGTGAATAAAATACAAATACTTGCTTATGCACTTGTTGCATTTCATAGTAATTCATATTATGGTTAGTTCTTCTATCTCCTTCTATAGTGTACTTCTCTAATTTCCTTCTCCAATATCATGCATACCTAATATTAATTTCATAAACCATGTATTTGAGTCAGGATAAAATAATGTTGAAAATACCACTGAGATTAAGATGTAATTAATTGGAAAGGGGATTTAATTTAACCACAGCTGAAATTTTATGGCACCCAAAAGATGAGCTTCATTATTTTGTGTGATCTTAGTTACAGGTTATATCATCAGGTGCTTGCTTTGATCTATATTGGTACGTGGATTTGGCTTTGTGTGTGTTCTTTAATTGGTTTATTTTTTGAGGGAGATCTCTGTTTGTTTGGGGGGTTGTTTGTTTGTCCAGCTTTAAAAAGGGTTGGTAACCAAGAACAGAATTACTAGGAACATAATAAATAAGATATAGTGGGGAGAAGAAAACACAGCTTTGTTGGGGACGGTGATGCATCTGAAGCCTGAGAGACTTGGGTGCAACAGCAAGCACATGGGCAAGCACTAGGGAATTCAGAATTTACTCATTATTGCTGATACTGAAACTTCAAGTGAAGGTTCAGGAAGGTTTTTGCCATGCCAAGTCATTGAGCAGTAAGAGTCATTTATGATGTTGAAAACCATTGATTGCTATGTAAATGATATGTTAGGGTGGGAGTTTTTAGATATATTCGGCTGCAATCCATGTGTTCATGTGAAAAAGGCCAAAAGTGGGCATTTCAAATGACCTCCTTTGTGCTATTTTTAATATACTTTTACAAGCAAATTTATTTAGTTCATGATCACTGGTTTCCAAATCATAGTCAAGGTTCTTTAAGCCTTATAAGGTACTTTTAGGTAGACTTTCAAAAGTAACTGAGATCAGGTAGTTTAATGACTACATGAGCTTGCAGCTTTATCGAGAACACTTTATTACACCTTTGCACTAAAAATTTTAACATGTCTCTAAAATGCAGGTAAGAGAAATGTTAGCTGTGTGTTTAGGCTCCGCTTTTCTGTATTTCCAAGCACTAGTGGAGTCTGGCTACCTGGCAGTATTTTGTGCCACGTAGGGATGTGACAGCCTGCAGTGAACGCCTGCAGCACGAGAGGGCAGCGTTTCCTATGGAATGTGTGTTTCCAGGTGGAACCCCAGAGCTGCGGTCCCTGCTGCCTGCTCTCCGTGCTTCTCCTGCATCTGTGCTCAAACTCTCTTCTTGGGCCCTTTTGCCGGCTCTTGGACAAGTTACTTTCTTTCCGTTCGTTATCAAGCAGAAGTAAAACCTCTGAAAGTTGTTAAGTTAAATGTGTGTGAATGTTTAAAGGACTGTGGCACCTAATGCCAGTCTGATCACCTGTTTGCAGCAGGAGCAGAATGCCAGAATTGTTAGGGTTGGAAGGGACCTCTGGAGATCCTCCAGTCCTGCCCTCTGCCCAGGCAGGGTCACCCGGAGCAGGTGGCACAGGAACGTGTCCAGGTGGGTTTGGAATGTCTCCAGACAGGGACACTCCACAGCTTCCCTGGGCAGCTGCTCCAGTGCTCTCCACCCTCAGTGTAAAGATGTTCTTCCTCGTGTTGGAGTGGAACTTCTTATGTTTTAGTTTATGGCCACTGCTCCTTGTCCCATCACTGGGAATCCTTGAAAGGAGCCTGGCACCATCCTCTTGACAGCCCTTTGAGATATTTGTATGCATTAACGAGATCTCCTCAGCCTTCTCTTCCCCACGCTAACCAGGCCCAGCTCCCACAGTCTCTCACAAGAGAGATGCTCCAGACCCCTCATCACCTTTGTGGCATCCACTGGACTCTGTCCAGGAGCTCCTTGTCTTTCTTGCACTGTACATTGGAAAGGAAATGTTAGCAAAAGCTGCTGAGGGCAAGGCCAAGAAGGGAGATGGATTTGGAGACATACTCCAACATAAGGAGTGTGAAAGAAACCATAACCTGCTCTGTGTCCTGCAGAGGAAGCTGATGGAGAAATGCAGGAGAAAGGGACTTAGAGCAGTTCAGTAATACATATATATGAATATCTATTACTCTCTAATGTGTATATAATATAAATGTCAGGGATGGAATAGAGAGGAAACACTGGGCATGGAGAAGGAACACTGGAGTTTGAATATATGGAAGGCAGTAGGAAAATAAAACTCAAAATTACTGCATTGAAAAAGATCTTACCTGTTCTCACGTCAGTGTTCTTCAGAAATTTATTTTTATATAAGTAGCTACAGCCAACAGTGCTATATATCCTTAAAAAGGATTTTTCCTTTTTAAGAAAAGATAGCAGCAATGCGGTGGTCTTTTAGTACATATCAAACTTGCTTAAGCAATGAGGGTGAATTATTTAAGGGAATAAAAAAGGGTAAAAAAGCAGAACCACGAGAATGATTTGGAGAGATTAATTTTTGGCCATTTAATGATTTATTTTCCCCACTTCAGTGAGTTACAGAGTGGTGGAAATTACTAAAACCTGTTATGGATTGGCAAGCTTACCAGAAATAGTAACAAGAATCTGCTCGTATTTCTTGGCTAATTATTTATGAGCAGTTTTCCTGAGGCAACACTGTAGGCAGAGTATAATGGGGGAAAGGGTGTTGCCAAAGTCACTGCTATAAATTGTTTTCAGCTGATGAGCTTGTCAAGAACTTCCACGTCTGCCAAAAATACTGTCTTTGGGGAAAAAAAATTATCCCAAATTGGAATTTAAATTCCAAATTACTGAAATTTGGATGGACAGGAAGAGGTGCAATATTGTTTTTGGAAGCAGTGAGAGTTTTCCACACCAGAAATATCTTGGTGTGTTGAAACAAAAAGGGACTCTCAGGTCCCCCCTCTTCCTCAGGGGGCTGTGGCAGGGAGCACAGGAGAGCTCCTGCCCCACATGCTGCCATTCCAGCCTCATCTTCCTGCTCCACAAAGGTTTTGGGGTTTGAAACAGACCTGCTGGAACTAAACCAGGAAAACCTGAGCACATATTTGTGTGAGCCACCTGTATTTTCTGCTGGGATTGCTGTATACTGCTGTTGTTGACAAATGTTGTTTTTTGGGCTTGTTAAATGATGTTTTCCCATAAAGACATTTGTGACATTTCCAAGCAGCTGGTTATATACCTGTTTGTCCTACTAAACAAGGAGGTTATGAGCAATTGGCAGTGAAGCTGTAGTAGGTACAGCTCATTGTTACAACTAATTGTAACTTGAGCAGTTGGAAAAGGGTCTTGACAAAGGAAATTATTAGATTTTATTTTTCTATTAGAGCTTGAGAGGGATTTTTTAAATATGTTTTATTAAAGAAGTGGATGTGGAAATAGACTCATTAGAAATGTAGTTAGATGTCAAAAAGTTGTTAGATTTGACAGTCCAAACTTTGAAATTTAGTTCATGTTGATGGATGAAATACTGAAAAAATAACTAGCTTTTGTAGGTTTTTAGTGTTTGCTTGCATTTATTACTAATGCTTTGTAAAGAACGTCTGAAATACTTGATTAAAAAATTGTTTTTCGGAATTGTCAATGTGCTTATATAAATAGATGGGTAGGATATAATAATTTAGGGTATAGATTTTCAGTATAAAACGTCTTCATACTGTAGCTACTTATGAAAATTTCTAGGTTGGTCTCAAAGAAATGTACTGTCACTCAGTAAGGAAATAGTACTGCAAGGTGCAAGTGCACAGAGAAATCTAGGTAGAGACCTGTAAATTCAAATCCAGTTTTACTGTGCACCAGCTTTCCCATATGGAAAAGTGAGATTGCATAATATATTCTACATGACTTCTCAGAACTGAGGTTTGCCAGTAATTTCCTATCCTGTGTCCTGCCCCACTTGTTTAACAGTAAAAAACTCCAAAATTATTACTGCTCATCCCCTTGACATTTGTTTCAGAATGAAGGGAAAGGGATTTCACAATTTCTGACTGAGGGCCCGTGGAATGTACTGCTTTCTGGATTCCAGTTTCCCTTTTTATTTTTTTTTTTAAATGAACATCTGAGTGTCATATTGTTGTAGAATTGTAGCCCATATATCCAAGAAACCAAATATAGAGAATGTACTGTGATAACTAATGATTTTCATCCTTTACATAAGCCAAACCTTTTTAAAAAGTAGAGGTATGTGGGGCAGATAACCAAACACAGTCTTTCAGAGGGCTTCTGAAGCTACAAAAGATGGTGGGAATCGTGTGCTTTTCCTTCTGTGAAAATAGAAACTGAGGTGGTAACATGCATGGAGGTATTGCATTGTAATATGATATTTCTGTTGGAACTTCCACAGGCCCTGTAGCTTTTGGCAAGAAAAAGTATAATCTTTATCTTGAGTAAACTGCTGTTATAATTCAAGCACACATTACTCAAACATCCATGGATTCTTGACATGGGTGAAGATGTAGTAGGACATGTGTTAAGGATTTTCATTTTCTAAATTGGTTTTATTATTTTTATTAGGTCATCCTTGGCAAGTATACCTGGCTTTCTTATGAAGACGTATACATTAAAGCTGTTAATTTTGGAAATGGTTTAGCAGTCTTGGGTCAGCAGCCAAAGACTAACATTGCTATTTTCTGTGAGACCAGAGCTGAGTGGATGATTGCAGCCCAGGCCTGCTTTATGTGCAACTACCAGCGTGAGTACCTGTCTTCCCTGCAGTTTTTATGGCTTTTGATTTCACAATCTGAAAACAAAACTCTTTCTTGCTTCATTTTATGTACTAAGAAAACTTTATCTAGATTTTATGTAGAACATTGAAGTCTTCAAATTAAAAAATGCTACGTAAGGTAGAAACTGTGTACTTGGTAGCCTTTTACTTTAGTGAATAGAGAAACTTGTATCTGTTGAGAGATGGGGAATATGGTTTTGGTAAGTATAGTTTGCTCAATGAACTTGTGAGAGGTTTACTTTCTTTTCATCTCAAACCAGTACAGATTCCCAAGTTTCTGAAAACAAACAAACAAAAATCACACATGAATTCATTGACTCAATTTCAGGAGTTGACGTCAAACCTTCATCTGTGCTGCAAGTTTTGTTTTAACTGGATATTTTGTCAGTTCTTCAATTTTCATTTTGGTTAGGCCTATTTTTCTTGCTCAGGAAATGTACTGAGTGGTGGTCTCAGTGTGCTGTAGTTGTTTAAATGTCTGTTTCATCATCGCTCCTTAATGTGTCCTTCACTTAACTAATCCCAGCCTGGCTGGGTTCTGTGGTGCTGCCAGGGGGACACATCTTGTCCTCCAGCACATGCCAGGAACTGCTGTTCCTCACAGGCTTTGGCTTTTTCCCTCCTGTGCCACATTAACTCTCCTTCAATAAGCAGTGAGCTGTAAAAGCCAGATGTGCAGAAATTCCTGACTTCCTACCTTGATACAATAAAGATGTCTATCAATTATACTTTTTTTCAGATTTTGGAAGTAAATCTTATAAGATTTCTGTTTAAACACTTCTTCTTTGCTCGGGGCACGAGTCTGTTTCAGTTTGAGAAGCAATATGTTGATGAGTATGTAGCAGTTTTCATTTACATAAGTTTTTACTCCTATCTCTGGTTATTTTGCATGTACCTTTTGCTGTATTGGTCCCTCAGTGTTAAAGATGGAGTTGGTGACAGGGTGCTCTGCTCTGGCCCTTAACATTTCAAAGTCAGCCTGCTTGCCTTGTGTGACAGCTGACTCTGTGGACAAGGAGAGAGTGGATGTTGTGTAGTGGGACTGGAGCAATGCCTTTGGCATGGCCTCCTGTAGTACCTGTACTCCCAGACTGTTCAGATGAGGATGGGTAAGTTTGGCTGCAAGGATTGTAAGGCACAGAACAGAGTTACTTGCCAGCCTTCAGTGGTTGACAGTGACTCCAATACTGCTTAACTTCTTTATGGAAGGGCTGCATGATGGGACAGAGTGCAAACACAGGAGGTCCCAACTGGTGGCAGCAGCCAGTGCACTCAGGGGTGAGGCTGTTGTGCAGAGGAGCCTGTCAGCTGGAAAAGTGGGATGTCTGGTACCTCATGGAGTTTAGTAAAGGCACGTAGAATTTCCTCTGTGTGTGCTGGAATGCACCTCGTGCACCAGTATGGGCTGGGGGACAGCTGGAGAGAGCAGCTTTGCAGGGAAAGACCTGAGGGTTTTGGTGGGCCATGAGTCTGCCAGGATTTTGCAGCACCTTCTTACAGTGGAGGCCAGCAGCATCCTGGATGCTGGTAGCATGAATGTAGTAGGTAGGCCCAGGGAAATGATCCTTCTCCTTTTGGACACAGGTAGAACCACATTTGGACTACTGTGTCTGTGCTGGGGCTTCCTGTTAGGAAAAAAGATGCTGACATCCTGGAGCAAGTCCAGTGCAGGGCTGCTAAGATGCTGGAGGGGTTGGAGAATGTGACATCTGAGGAGAGGCTGACAGAGGGGGATCTGCTCAGCATTGAGTGAGTTCAGACCTTGTTGCTGTCTGGCAGTACCCAGTGGGGGCATGCAGAGGAGATGGAGCTAGGCTCTGCTCACAAAGGTGTGCTTTGATACCACTGCAGGCCACCAAGTTCAGTGGCAAGAAAATTTGATTAGATATTAGGGGAAGCATCTTCATTGTGAGGGTGGTTGTGTATCAGAACAGGAACAAAGAACAGTTGTGAAATCTTCATCCTTGGAGATCTGTAAAACCCAGACTGGCCATAGCTCTGAGCTCTCCTGCAGTGGATGGTGTGTGCAGGTGATCTTTCCAGGTGCCTTTCTGCCTAAATTGGTTTTTGGTCAGTTCTTCACTCAGTAAATGCTGCTGGCTTGCCTATCAGAGCAGAGGACTGCACAGACTATTCTCAAATAAGATTCCTGTGCTGCTTTTAAACTACATGTCTCTGTGCCAGTTCTCTTTTATCACTTTTGGGATCTGTCAGATTCCTTGTGGCTATCCTGGGAATAAAATGCAAGTGCTCGTATCATTTTTTTTTTTTTCCTTTGGAACTGAAGCACATTTACAAATCCTAGGGAGATTTGTAATTTGAGGGGAAATCTGATCTGAGGGCTGGACGTTGTGAGCAGAATGGTATGTGTGTGTTTTTGGGTTTGTTGGATTAGTGCTTTAAATCCCCTTAACTGCGACGTGCCTCAGCACACACTCTGACGTGGTGTTCAGCATCTAAGCTGTGTCATCTTCTGTGAACTTGGCTGACTTGTGCTGGCAGATGAAGAGAGCTGTGCAGTGTTCACAGGCAGCTTGCAGGACAAGTTGGAAGATTCAGATGATGTAGTAGTGGCAAGACATTGCTAAATGGCTTATGTTAGCATTTTTCAGTGTGCGGGTTTGATACCAGCTAATTGCTGTGGGGGTGTTGGGATATTCTTTCCAAAAGTGAATTGTGTTCAGTCTGATGGAGTGGGCCCAGAACAGGTGTCAATAGAGCAGGTTTATCTGCTTTGTACATGGTATTGGAGAGAATGCCTTTTGCACTGCAGAATTAAAATGAGTGAAGTGATGTTTTTATGGATTACTTGCACAAACAGGTGATTTTATGGTTAGAGATACTTGCTTGATTTTAAATGACTTCAGAAAAATGACTTTTTCTGAAGTTCTCTAGGCCTTGTATTTGCAGGAGGTAGAGTGGGATTGCTAGTTCAGGAACAAAAGAAGTAGTACTAACATGAAAACAGATTTTCTTCTTAAATACCTCTTCATGTGTGTGAACAGCTCTTCAAAGATAGGCAGATAAAACACAGGAGTGCATAGTTCTAATGGTGGAGTAGGAGAGGTTAGGTTTTATTTTTTGGTCATGCTTGAGCAGAAGTCGTTTTGCCAGAATTAAATTTGACTGAAACCTTTAAAGGTGCATTTTGCTTTTTATGTTGATGTACAATGAATGCTGAAATACTCAGTTTAACGTTCCAGTTGCCTTGAAAGAAACTGTAAAAGTTCTATTTGTTTCTTTAGGGCAAGGTTTTGTCTTTTTATACGAGCTGACAAATTTAGTGGTGTTGGGGGTTTTCTTTTTGTCAAGCCTTTGTTCAGATAACAAAGACTCACTTGTACTATTGCATGTATAAAGGTGAATACAAAATAATCCCTTCTCAGTATGTTTTCAAGAGAATGAGGAGAGAAAAAAATTATAAAAAGTTTCGGATTTGCCTGAAAAAGTTTTAGGTGCCAGTGTGGAGAAGGGAGAATCTCAGAGATGAGAGTCATTGCTCAGTTTTGCTCTTTCCATGACATCAGTGCCCCATCATACAAATGGTGTCTCTTTCTCTTTGGCTCTGTCATGCAGCTCTGAGTGTCATGACGTACTTACTTGCAGATGAGTAGTTAAGGACCTCCGTGGCTCTTGCCGAGATGATGCTTTGCCTTCTGGGCGCTGTTGTCAGCTGGGTTCTGCTCGTTGGCTCGGGGCAGCTGAATTTCTGCTCATGTTTATATAACAGGGGTCACTGCAGTAAGGAGAGAGAGCTCGTGGGAACGAGGAGAGGCACTCTTCTGGACTTTGCTCCCACCAAATTAAAGAAAACACAGTGCATGTGCATTTGCCCTGCAACAGTTCTGAACTATCATGGACTGTTTTAACAAGAAAAAAATAAGTAGAGATCAGCTATTTACTTTTCTGTGTAACAAAACTGCTTTTGAGTTGTTTGGGGTTAGTAACTCCTTGGATTTAAAATATTAAAATAATAAACTTAAAATACAACAGAACTTTATTTAATTTTAATTTTTAATCTTTGCTGCAGTGATTACAGTCCTAATGTACAGTGGATTGTCTTGTTTTCATAATTACATTGTTTAAATATTCAGCTACATACAGACTAAAAAGCAGAAGATATTGAGACACCTGATGTGACGACTCCCTGCAAGAATATTGTAATTATTGATTGTGTTGATTGATCTTGGAGCCTTTTTGACGTGCCCCTGTTTAGTGTTCTGCTTAGAATATAGAACTTTTTCTTTTTGAGTGCAATACTTCTCTTCAGTTTTTAGCTGCCATTTTCTTCCCCTAGTGTCTTCTTGTCTCTTTTCATTCAGTTCCATTGAAAACGGCAGAAAATTAAATATTATTTTAATGGTGTTAATATGAAATCATTGTTTAACACACTCACTAATGAGCTGACCTTACAAACAGGAAACAATTTTTCTTATAGTCAATTTTCTAAATATTTTCTTTCTTGCTATTCTGTATAATTCTTATGATGTCAGTTCAGGATCTAACGACTGTGATGATTAAACCTTTATTACATTATTTTAAATAAATGACAGAACAGGATAGTCACAGACTCATTCCTGAGTGTGAGAATGCTCTGCTGATGACAAGTTACTGCCATGCTGTAGTAATTTGTTATTAGCAGTCAATTGTAAAATGTTAGTAACAGAGTATGTGAATTCTGGAAAGAGAAGTCACATGAATGAAAGCTGTTTCTTTCCTATGTGCAAGAGGAATGTTACACAGGGATTAAACAGAACTTTTGCCTACTTTTCAGATGGTAAAAGCAATGAAAGTATGAGAGTAGATCCAGGAGAATTGCATAAGGTGATGTGATTTTGGGACCTCTAACCTTGGGAAAGAATAAACTGTTACATAGAGAATGGTTGTTCATTATTCCTTCTGGGAGTAACTGAAAATCACACTCTATTGAAATTCAGATGCGAGGAGGCTTTTTAAATACAAAATTGTCCCATCTTCGAGTTGACAAGTATTTTTACTGTGTTGCTTAAGATGGAATAGATTAATCTCAGTTCTTTTTTGTAAACAGTACTTGAAAATGAAACCCATTTCCCCTGTTTTGTGTTTCAGTTGTTACTCTGTACGCCACGCTGGGAGGCCCAGCAATCGTTCATGGGCTGAATGAAACAGAGGTGACCACCATCATTACTAGTAAAGAATTGATGCAAACAAAATTGAAGGTCAGAAAACTCTTCTGGTGTCTCTGTTCACCATTGCTAAATAGCCTGGTTCCATTGTACAGAACAATGATTTATTGCCTTTGCATAAGGCAGACACTTTTGGAAGATGATTTATGTATCTGTCTTCATGTACAGAAAGTGGTAGTTTGCACTCAGTAGGTTTTAGGCTGCTCAGTGACTGGAGAGTAAGCAATTTGCAGTATTGCAGAGCTGGAGTTCTGCCTGGAAAAACACCTTTACAAGAAACTGCCGTGGTTTCTGGATGGATTTAGTGCCTATAAATGTAACAATGGGAAGAACAGAAAAATGTATAAAGAGCTAACTGTGATCATGCTCCTGGCTTATTATCAGATATTTTCCCAGCAGAGAATGGTTTTTATGTCTAAAGATGGGTGTTTAAAGAGTTAGAGCTGTTTTTCCATGCAGGGGGAGAAAAAACTCACTAAACATTACAACAGTCAAAGAGCTTCTTTGACTTACTGACCCTGATAAAATACCCAAGTGGAACAACTAATCTGCGTGAGTTTCATCATTCTGTGTTTTGGGGAAACTGGACCTTTCAGATAAGGCAATTGTTTTCGTGAAAAACTGTGCTGTTGTGGAATTTTGAATGAGAATTTCCCAGACTTTAAAAAGAAGTTACTACAATGACAGTATCAATGCCATGCACATTTATTTCAGTTTGCAGTAAGAGAATGCATTTGCTCTGCTATAGGTGATGATCTTCTCTTCTTCCATGAGAACATTGATAAACATCTTAGAACTCATATTTTGCTTGAAATGTTTTACTAGTAATTTTCAATGTTTTTGCTAGCTGTTGCTTATTTTAAATAGCATAATTATCAAGGAACAATCCAAGAATTATTGTAAGCCTCAGTATCACCAGTTTCTCTCAGTGTTCTATGGAAAGGGAAAGTCAATTATGTCTACAAATAATTGCAGTCTTATTTGTGGGGTTTTCGTGAAATAAAATACAAATCAGTAAATGGTTTTAGAAGTTTTTTGCCTTAAAATTGGAAAGGTTCAAGCTCTGCAGCTATTTGAGCTTGGCAGATAGCATGGAGGTTTTTGTTCTTGTTTTGTTTTTTGTTTGTTTTACTTCTTGGCATAGAACTAATTTTTAATTTTTGAACCCATTTTTCATTTCCACAGGAAATTGTTTCTCAAGTTCCACTACTGCGACATATAATTACAGTGGATGGCAAACCCACAACCTGGTCAGAGTTCCCCAAGGGTGTCATTGTTCACACGATGGCATCTGTGCAAGCCATGGGGGCCAAGGCAGGCACTGGTAGGTTCTTCCTGTTCACACCAGCTCTTTTGGTGCCCTAATTTGACCCTGTTGAGTAAACTTGAAGAAACTGCAGATTTCAAAATTATGCAGATTTAACATTTTCTTATCTCTTTTTCCTTTCCTTTTCTTTTTTTTTTTTTTGTTTTGATTGTAGGTGGTTTGATTTTGGGATGTAAGTTTGTTTTGTTTTTGAACAGAGTAAAAACTGACTTCACAATCAAGTGTCACAGGTTGAAGGGTAGTTTTTAGGATATAAGCAATTAATTCAGGATAGAAACTTAGAAAGCATTCTTATGAACAGATGTATTAAAACCAGGTTATTCAGGGCACAGAAGGAAAACCATTGTGTATTTTATAACAAAAGAAATCAGTAATTTGTTACTGTTAAGTTCTGTAAAAATCACAGATAGCAAATGTAAAATAGTCATTTGAATCTGATAGAACTTGGTCACTTCATTTCTCGAAGCATCAATCAATGTAAATTCATTGAAATCTATTTCTGGTCTATGTAACATTTTTAGATCTATAATTCAGAATTTTAGAACTTGCTTTAATTGTAATCTTAAGAAATTTTTATTCTTAGTTCTGAAGAGCTGCCCATTCTAGTGTTGTAAGATTTCAATATATTCAGCAGTTGCTCTCTTTTGTTGTTATCCATTGTGTTTTCAGAATCTCTTAACTACTGCAGGCACAGGAATGTTGGATTGTGTTTTAGGAGTAAGGGAGATGGTCAATCCATCTGATTTTGATGTTCAGGGAAATGGCAGATTGTTCCAAATATCATAACCTCTCAATTTCTTTAGAAGATGCTTTTCCCTATTTTACATACCCGTTTTATGTACTACTAAAGCAGTTTTAATACAACACTGGCAGAAAAATTTTGCCTGTAATTCGTTAGCTCCCTGGAATTTGTTAATCTATGTGCTGTTTAAAAAGGTATTTAATCTTTTTCAGTCTTTTAAATATCACATACTCTGCACTACAATAAAGGAACATTATCTTTGTCAAGTTAACCATTCATAAACTGTGAAATGCTATCATGAATTGTTTATGGTCAAGCATGTCCAATTAATATTAAGTAGATGAGCTATTGCTTATGCTTTTTTCCTCTGTGGTGTTCATTATGCAGGATAGGCAGGATTCAGTGAGTGGAAAATGATTAAATGTTGCTTTCATGCTTCTCATTCAGTGTGCCACATGCACTGTGTGATGCATTTTCCTCTGAGTAAGCACAGTAGTTTTTCTATTTTCTTGCTCTCAGCAGAAGTATTTAAAAAGCACTTTAACCCAATTAAAGCTGTTGAACTTCTTTTAAATATTTATGGAGACTAGACCTCAGGTTGGCTCAGCAGTGCTTTGCTGCAGGTGTGGCACATGAGGCAGCTCTGCCAGGGAGCATGTGAGGCAGGAGCTGGGCACAGGGATGGAGCCAGGGCACTGAACCTTCCCGAGGCAGGGATGCTCAGTGGTGCTTTGTCAAGCCAAAGCTCTGCCTCTTTTTCTCTCCATAGCAGGAGTAGGGGAAAAATAATAGAAAAACTTGTGGTAGATAAGGACAATCAAGTCAAGTATTGCTCGGCTAATGCAAAGTTCCTGCTCTTTGTGAAGGTACTTAACCTTGACGATAATCTTTTAAAGTAAAAGTAGAATGTAATAGCAGAGTCCTGTTGTGCTGTATTGAAGTGACTGCTGAAATGTGTCAGTGTCACAGATCTCCCAGCCTGAGAGGCTCTCCACACATCACACATCCTATTTTTTTAACAACTTGCAGGAAACAAGCAGCCATCCAGGCCTGTGCCCTCGGATATCGCAGTGATCATGTACACAAGTGGATCCACAGGAATTCCCAAAGGAGTTATGATCTCCCATTGCAACATAATTGCTGGGATAACTGGAATGGCTGAGAGGATCCCAAATCTGGGGTGGGTACCAACCGTTACTTAGCAGCAAATAAAGAAGTCATGCGGTTGTTTTTAATTTTAGATTAATTATTGTGTAAAATGTGAGCTGTTTTATATTGCTATGGCTGTGACACATCATACTATGCACTGACATCTGAGCATCTTCCAGTACTGCATTAAATGACATGACTATTTCATGTACTCTTTATTCTCTGCTCTTTGGTATGTGGGCAAGACTAGGACACAAAAACCTGAGGCCACAGTGCACTAGCATGGTTGAAAGCCTCCCTAAGCAGTGCTTCCCTTGGTTAATGTTTAAGTTCTGTGGCTTCTTTCTGTTTGGTGCAGTTTTTAATCTCATCCACTGAGTTGCCTTTGCAACCATAACACATGGTTAATGGTCTTGGGATGAGTAACCAGAGTAACCATCACCCTTTTCTCACCCTTAAACCTACAGTATGTAGTATGCAACTCTTGAAATAAAACCCACGTGATTTGAAATATACTCTCAAGTTCAAAGGCATTTTCTACTTTCTCCCTTTATGCAGTAAGCTTTGCATAAACTGCTGCATCTGAGGACTCTAGTGATACAGCATAAACTTATCTTTTAAAATTTCTTTGCAGGGAAAAAGACATTTATATTGGGTACCTGCCCCTTGCCCATGTTCTGGAGCTGAGTGCTGAGCTGGTGTGTCTGTCTCACGGGTGCCGCATCGGTTACTCCTCCCCTCAGACACTGGCTGACCAGGTATGTTGTACATGCAAGTTCTTATGGTAAAAAAAAAAAAAAATTAAAAAGAAATTACTTACATCAGATCTTTGTAATATTTCTTTTAAAATAATACAAATTTTGTTTCTGATGTTAAAGATCTTGAATGTGTCTGCTAGTAAACTTGTTCTTCACTTTAGTCTTCTAAAATAAAGAAAGGAAGCAAAGGGGATGTTACTACACTTAAGCCAACTCTAATGGCAGCTGTTCCGGTAAGTAACTGAAGGATGAATAATTTTTAAAGCCTTTTTTAAAATATAATTTATAATTCAATTTTTAGCAACGAAATTAATACCATGACCATTTAAATAGAAAAGGTAGAATCTTTGATGTAATGCTGCCTTAAAATAATAATTTTGGTACTTATTTGTATGTTGGGGATAAACAATCATGATATGAGTATCAAACTTTTTCTAAGTTAAGACAGTGATAGAGATTTGATTCCCATTTTAATTGGTAATTTCTTGTTTGTTACAGTGAAAGAGTGGAATAAAGAGAGTTGGCAGGAGGCAGCTGGGGGTTAACTGCTGCTCCTGCCCAGATTTTGCTTTCCTCCTTTCCATGAACATCTTGCTGTGTCTTAGCGAGGGAAGAGGAGGGAACCTGGGAGTGGGTTGTCACCTGAAGCTCACTTGAATTTCTAGACTGTATTTTCTTTTTGCTGTACTGAATTCAGGATTTCTGTTTCTTTGAGTTAAAGTTGATCTTTTTATGTAACTAGGAAATTATGGATCGAATCTACAAAAACGTCATGAATAAAGTGAATGAAATGACCAGTTTCCAGCGGAATCTGTTTATATTGGCCTACAACTACAAAATGGAACAGATTTCCAAAGGTTACACTACCCCACTCTGCGACAGGTAATGTTAACTTCATTTTTAATGGCACCAAAAAATCAAAGTCTTACCACAGGAGCAGTATCTGGTTTTTTGTGCTTTTCTTTGTTTTATTGTTGACATTTTGAACATGAACAAATCCATACTTGAGTGTAAATTGAAACAACAAAGCAGTAGTTGGTGTGAAGGTTTAAATACTTACTGATATAATTTAAGTGGGTGTTGTTGAACTTGAAACTGATTGAAAATTTGCATCTATTGCATTTTCGTCAGGAATTTAATAATAGATTTATACAATTTTTGGGTATGAAGAGAAGTTTACTCCTACAGAAAACTGCAGACTCCACATTTTCACAGAAGGGAGCATTGGTATATCTCAAACTGGAAAAACCCGCAGGATCGTTGAGTCTAACTTTGGGCTTTGTGAGAGTAAAGGAAAAATTTTTTTGCAAAATTTGTACAACTGAAAGGTTTTTTAGGAGAAAATCATGCAATTTTACTAATTTTTTAAGTCTTTGTAATTCACCTTCAAACTAGAACATGGAAACAGTCTCAGAAATCTGTGCCTGTACTTCTGAAAACTTCAGCGTGTTCCTTCAGGGTTTTCCTTGGATGTCATAAAAGCGTATTTGAAGACAGTGGGAACTTCCAGTTCAGATCCAAAACTAGGTGCTCGCTTGCTTTGTTTCGAACCACCGAAACGTCCTTTTCCCTTTGTGTTTCAGCCTTATCTTCCGCAAGGTGCGGATGCTGCTGGGCGGGAAGATCCGCGTCCTGCTGTGCGGCGGAGCGCCGCTGTCGGCGGCCACGCAGCGCTTCATGAACATCTGCTTCTGCTGCCCCGTGGGCCAGGGCTACGGCCTCACCGAGTCTGCTGGCGCTGGCACCATCACCGAAGGTGGGTGGGTGACACCCTGTCCCCTCCGGTGGGTGACGCCCTGTCCCTCTGGCACCGCACCCGTGCTCAGCCCTGCCCACCCGCTGCTTTGCTGGGGCCACCAAACATTGTCACCCAGGGCAATCCTGGAGATGGGTGTTCCCACAAATGTATAGAGCAGTGGTAGGGCTGATGTGGATGCACTGTGTTAAAGCAGGTGACCTGCATGTAAAATGAATGTTCTCATTTGTGGTACAGCAGCCCATTCTAGTGTGAGTGGGATCTTGGTGGTGTTGTACTTACCACATGAACAAAGTAATTATTTTCAGCTTTTGTTGAGTATATTGAGAGATGTCAGGAATTAAAATCTTCCTGCACCAGATTTTATTTTCATATAACAGAGCTTAATGGTTTCAGTTGCCTTTTAGGAACTCAGCTAATACAGCCATCTTCTCTCTTGGTGGGATAAGAAATTTATCTGTGTTCTCTTAATAAATCCACTGGATTTTCTTGGAAGTCTGTGAATTAAAGTTCAAAAATAAATAGCAGTTAATTTTCACTGAGGATGCATGACAACAAAAGATTGATTTTTTAAAAATTTTTTTAATTTTTTTTTTCCTAACCAACTTTAGTTTTTCTTTTTCTGAATATGCACTTGTTTAAATTCTAGTTTGGGACTACACTACAGGAAGAGTGGGAGCACCTTTGGTCTGTTGTGAAATCAAGTTATTGAACTGGGAAGAAGGTGAGAATTCCTGCTTAAGATTCAATTGTAATGTGCTTGTAAGAACTGCGTTTTTCTATTGGACTTTCCTCAGTAGCAGTAATTAGAAGACTATCTTGTCTGTTTGTATTTTAAATGCTACTTTTGCCTAAAAAAGTTTGCTTTTGGGGAGAAGAAAGGTAAAATAATTTCCTCAGTAGTTTCAAAAAAGGGAAATATACAGACAGAAGTCATTAGATATTGGCATGTAGAATAGAAGCTTTATAAAATAAAGCTTTATACTTTATAAAGTACATATAATAAATTTTGAAATGCATCTGGGTATTTCCTTTCACTGTAGGCTTTTATGCACTGTAGAATAGAAACATATAATACTCAAGTGTTTTTTGGACTAATTCAAACCCCTGTGGATTTTTTCTAAACTATGAGGCAAAATTATTTTATTTGAGCCTGTTTTAAACTGATAAAGCACATTACTTACTACAGCCAGAAGGATGGCACAATTTTTTTGCTTTGGAACATGTTTTCATACTCATAAACTTAATAAAACTCCCCATCCTTTTAGGTGGGTATTACAACACTGATAAGCCATATCCTAGAGGTGAGATCCTTATTGGAGGGCAGAATGTGACTGTGGGCTACTACAAAAATGAAGCACGAACCAGAAAAGATTTCAGTGTTGATGAAAATGGGCAGAGGTGGCTCCATACTGGAGACATTGGAGAGTTCCATCATGATGGATGTCTAAAAATTATTGGTGAGTTAATAAATTCAGGTAAACATGTGTGTGTATATGAATATCTATACATATACATTTTTCAGGGCTCTGAAATAGAGTAATGAAAAAAACCTCCCTATCTTGTCATGCAATCTAAAGCCTTCCCATGTATCCCAGTGAAGTTCTGCTATATTAATGTAAACTTGTTTGTGTGTTTTAGAAGCTGATTTTTGGTTCATTTTGAAACAATCTTAGCATTGACTCCCTAAGTTAGTGATACTGGGTTGTAATTAGAGAGTTAAATATCAGCGAATTGAGTAGATAAGCTGCCTTATATTGTGTCATTTTCTAAGGTTGTGTACAATAACCTCAAGTAATTTGGGCGTAATTTTTGGTTCCTATTGTTGTTTTTCAAGTGAAAGGTAAACAGTTGCTCTTTCAATATGGATTTAGCCTGAAATAAATAACATGATGTCATCAAATGGTGCACATCCTGCCTTGTGGGTCTGGGCCACAAGTATGTGCTCCTGGCTAACAGTGGCTTTTGCAGAGTCCTACTTGTCTTCCATGCACATGATGGTGCTGTCATATAGGAAATGCTGTTCTGAAGGCAGAAAATGCATGGAGTTGTAATGTCCCTCATTTTGTTGGAAAAGACAGACTGATAAAATGCAGTCTGGAAACCTGACATTAAAGGTTTCTGGTACATTCACCAAACGTGAGTCAATTTGGATATTTATATATGCATTTCAGAAAAATTTAAAATCAATGTTTAAAAGTTTTCTGTTCTGTAATTAAGACTTAATTCCTTTCTTCCTCGATAGATCGCAAGAAGGATCTTGTGAAGCTGCAGGCAGGAGAGTATGTTTCTCTTGGCAAAGTAGAAGCAGCTCTGAAGAATCTCCCACTGGTGGATAATATTTGTGCATATGCAAGCAGGTAAGAGCAGCTGATAGTTTGTTACTGCTCTGTTCTTTGTCCTTTTCAAGCCATAAGCAAATTTTTTTGCCACTTAATATTTAGAATTTTTTTAATCAATTAAAAAAAGGATTTTACTTACAATACAGTGGAATAACTCTCAATCAAAACTGAAAGATCTGAAATCCATTTTTATTTTTCCTTTCTCATTTGTTGTCATCATTTATCAGAGAATACCAATGATGAGTCTTCTCCCTTCCCCAATCTGGAAAGCAGCTGAGCTCTGTTGCATTAATTACAGACATCACTTAAGCACTTTGGAGATTGTTACCTTTAGAAGCCCTAGGATACCTTGTTCCTTGCTGTGTTTAGTTGTGATTTGTCCTTTGTGGGGCTTCACAGGAAGGTGGGGAAAAAAGTACCAATGGCCCAGTAGCTGGCTTGTGAATTAGTTACTTTTCTTTACCCCTGCAGTACACCACCTTGAAGCTTGAGAAAAAACACACTCTAATCACTGTGAAAACGCACAACAAATGACAATCAAATGTCATTTCTATTTGCTTTATATGTGTACTAATAAATGAGGTGATAAGGGCTCAAACATGTCTTAGGTTTCTATTTCTAGAATTTCTTAGCTCTTACACATATCAGTGTACTTCAGGTGGTCTTTGTTTCCTGTTGGCATTTGACACTGATGTTTGGAAAGTTATTTTGGAGCTTCTGGATGATCAGAAATATTCTGATTCCCAGTATGGCCTAAAAAGCCCCACTTTAATTAGGAAGAAGACAGGATAAGCATACCAGAGAATTGCTCAGTGGCAATAAATTAAACAATTAACTTTTGGTTTGTTCACCTGGTTCTCTGTAATTTTGTGAGGTTTGTGTAGTCATTCTGTACAGTTTTGACAGCTTTGGATCAGTAGGCTGGCATTGGCCTGCCACTGCTGAGAAAATTTCCATTCTTTTAACCTTTATTTGTGGTTTGGACTCACTGAGTGAGTCTCATGTTTGCTCGTTTTGGCAGCCTGAAGTTGTGACTGTTCCAAGCACCTTCTGTAATCTCTGGAGAAAGATCTTCCTACATGTGATTTCTTCTCTTCCAGGATTGCATTTCACTATTGGACTTGTGCTACCAAATTTTTGAGTTAATTTTGCCAGGCCACCATAACACTGGAAGTTAAAATGTACTTGGCAGCCAGACACTTGACTCTGATAGGCCATGTTGTCTCTATTACTTAAAAACAGGAAAACCTATGAGCAATTTTTAAAGGTAATTTACAAACAAGAGTCCAGACCAAGGACAAACAAGACAAGATGTTCCAGATTGGTTTTTCTGTTGCTGCTCTACTTTTAATTAATACTGTTATGTGTATAATGTGGCCTGAGTAGCCATGTAATAGAGTCCCTGAATGATTGTCCATATGCACATTTCATTGTGGGCATGTGCTCACCTCAGCAGTCTGAGCTCTGAGAGGTTTTGTAACAACAGTGCCTGTGACCTTTCTTTTAGATCCTGTCTCTCCTTATACATTTCCTGGGTGATCTCATGTGCAGGAGGAGTCCTTTATTTGTAGCTGCTCTGTTTCCCAAATGCAAAAGGACAAGGAGGGCAGACTTTCATAAATGGGTTTAATATGCGATTTGACCTTAGATTTTAGGGTGCAAAGCTCCTCTGACCATGGTAGTAGGAAATCAGAATTGTTTGCATGGCATTGCTACTTCAAAAGCTGTATTGATTTCAGACAAAATACATGAGATAAGGAATGAAAACATTTGCTGAAAGGAATCTTAATTAGAGCTGTCAGGGGGGACTCCTACTGCTTTACCAATACTTCACCCATCCGAGACAAGTTAAGTGGGCTTCAAGCATCACCTCAGGAAATGAGTAGCCCAGTTACCTGAGGAATGAGCAAACGTGGCAAAAAACCTGAGGGAGTCCTCAGTAATCTCAAGGAGATAAGGACCAGAGTTTACAGAATAGAAACAGTGGTATCTATGTAGTGCCACTAAATATGTTCTGACCATGGGTCTGGAGCCATACTGGGGTAGAATTGTAAGCACAGCAAGGGAATGAGGCTCCTAGTATAGGACAGACATTTTGGCAAAATCTTTCATCATCGAAGTGATGACTAAGGAAGTCTTGAGGACCAAAATTTCCAGTGAAAATCACTTCCAAGACAAAGCTACCGAATACAAAAGATCAGCATAAGGAGCAGCGAGAGGGAAGTAACTGCATGAGAGGGAAGATGGACCTTCAGGATACCTGTCAAGACAAAACACTTTTTTAGCATTTGAACTGCAACAAGTGAAGATTTAACTTTGCAGCACAGAATGAAAAACTACATGTACCAGGAACTGTGAGCTTCAAGGTGTTCTTTCCGAGAAAAAAACCAGCTGGATGAACATGTTTGTCCAGAAACAAGTACACTTCTACTCAAGGGGCTGAATTTTAGATGAACAGAAAGCTTGATGTTTACCCAGCCAACTGATTACTTCTATCTGCTCTTTATTCCTGGAGACACTGAGGATATTGCTGGACATGATCCTGAGCATGTCAGAAGACTACAGGAGCCAGGGATGAAAGTGCCAGTTATGTCCCAAGTGCCTTCACACACACAATATCTATGCTGTAAGGAGCAAAGTTACAAGGGTTCAGTAGAGAGTACAGCATGAGTGTGAATGGGGAGAATGGGACAGAGGCAAAGGCAGAAGGTGAGGTGCAAGCAGTAGTGGTAGTGAGGCTAATCAGAAATCATCCTGTAATACATTCTCAGGAAGAGAAAAAGGAGAATGGTTTTGAGCTGGTAGGCCAAGCATGTGATGAAGTCTTTGTTTGTAATGGACTCTGGTGCAGTCTTCTCAACTCCTGTCAGATGCCCATTATGATTCATGGCAGTAATTAATTAGAAAATTGCAATGCTCAGTAACCAAAAACATATTTAGAAGTAGTATCTTAAAATTATCTTGTTAAGGGATATAGTTACAGTAATCTGCATGCTAAGTTTTCATATTTTGTATTAATGGTCTGTCTGGTAAGAGTTGAAAAGATTTAATAAATCTGTACATTAAGATGTACAGATGTACATCTTAAGATGGGAGGGAACCAAAGCCACAGTGGAAGATAGGATGAGAATTCAGAGCAAGCTTGGCTAAATGGAGATCTGCTTGAAAATAGCAGTAAGTTTAAAGAGAGGAGCTTTAAATTATACTGACAGCTAAATAAACTGCAGAAGTTAGGGGTGAGAACCACCAGTTGGTATCAATTCAGTAGGAGCTGACATGAGTCCACAAGTGCCATGCTGTTATGAGAAGGTAAAGGGCAAAATCAGATGTATTGCCTACAAAATGCACAATGATCTCTTTGCTCTGACAAGGATTAAAGGATCTGACTTCTACATGTAGCACATCTGAAGAGATGGATCTCATGCAAAGAGTCCAGGAAAAAAATGGCAATGTCTGGGCAGAGACCTGTAATGGCATGAATTAGGAGGAAAGGACACTGCTGATATGTCAAAATAAACCTAAGAAAGGAAGCAAGACTAAAAAAGTGACAAGGAAAATCTGTGAATGAATAAATAGCTTCTGTGGAAAAGAGAGGGACATCTGACTATTCTGAGGTAAACTGCAAAGAGGAAGAGTTAGGATTGCCCTCAGCAGCAGCTTGTCCTTGCTGTGATGAAGTGTTGGTATTAGTGGTTGCTGATGTTTAAGAAAGATGTAGACAAACATCTGTTAGATGTATCTGACCCTGCTTCAGGGCAGGTAAATTGATTAGGATCTCTTCTGAGATCACTTTCAACTCTGGCTCCATGATCTGCTTTGTTAGAATGTGTTGAGCTGCTGTGTGAGATTCTGTGCAACTTTTTACCTAAACTTGACACCAGCTGAAAAGTTTTGAATACCTGTTTCAGAGTATATTGTGCTTTAGGGCCAAAAGACTTTGAGATCACAGCTTCCTATGTTCTGAGCATGTCAGGAGCAGACAAAGAGTGCCAACAGTAGAGTGAGTGTATGGACAATCACTTGAAAGAGAAAGAGAAGTCACTTCCCTTACAGAAGCAGGCATCCTTTGAGATGTGTTGTGCATATGCTCATTCCACAACCTGCTCTCCAACCCCTCTTCACTGCAGTCCTCTACTCCTCTACAGTAACTGGATTCTGCAGTTGAGAGGAAACTGAGGTAGGGAAGCCGCACACCAGTCTCCATTCCGGGCTGCAGAACATGAGGAGAGGCAGGGCACAGTGACATCGTGTGGGTGCTGCTTCCCAAAGCTTTGGGCATGAGACACAGTGGAATATGCATATGGACAGCACACCTTGAAGCAATCCAGTTACTGTAAGGTAAGTAGCTTCTCTTTCTACTTGTTTTTAAGCAGGCAGAGGTAACTTGTGTACTATTTCAGGAGGATTATCAGGTGAACAAAAGCCAGCTGTTAGGAGCAATCTCTGTGTGAAGTGTAAACGCCTTAACTTGAAATTTTGTTTTTGAACAGTTTATTTTGCAAAATTCATACTAAAGTGCATTGTGCTTCTCAGTTTCCATTCTTATGTCATTGGATTTGTTGTGCCAAATCAAAAGGAGCTCGCTGAACTAGCCCGAAAGAAAGGATTTAAAGGAACCTGGGAGGAGATCTGTAACAGTCCTGAGATGGAAAAAGAGGTTCTGAAGGTCCTAGCTGAGGCTGCCATGGCAGGTGAGTGGCTGGGTAGATGGTTTCAATCTTATGGACCGCAGTGTCTGTGAAATAGATAAGCACAGGCTCTAAAAATATTTCCTTGAGTGTATATATTTCATTGAACCTGTATGAAGTGAGATGTTCATACAAAAACCCCCAACAACAAAATGAGTTGGGTCAGTCCTTTTGTTTCATTCAGCTTCTTTTACTGTGGCCAATAGCTGAAGAATATAAAAACAGAGAAGCTTTTAAAGTACAATTCTCTGTATATATTTGTGTATGTGTGGTGTTCTTTAAGATGTCCTGTAGTATCTTGTTGGCCTTGCTGCGGGTCCAAAAAAAATGCGGGTCAATTATAATAATAATTATAATAATTATTATAAGTACAACAGTAATATAATAATAAAATAATATAATTGTAATAATAATATATATAAGCATAATATGCATCAGGTATCAGACAGTCTCAAATACTACATACCAGAGCAGAGTTGAAATAAACTCCTGGTGACAGGGGCTCTCCTGCCCGTGGTGGTTGTGATTCTGTCAGTGTGGATTATTCTTCCCCCTCACTATCTTTTTCATGCTAATTGGCTGTAGTCTGTCAGGCTGTTCTGGTGCAGAGTGAAGCAGTGGCACAGGGATATTTTGTAATAATTTATGCCTTACTTTTGCTTTTGGCTGTTTCTGAGCACTAACCTTTTTTCATAATGCCGTCAGTTATGGCCACAGAATTACTTTTTAAAATGATCATCAGGGGTGTAAAATGTTCTATATTCATATCTTGACACTTTCCTGCAGTGGATGTTTGCTGCTGTTTTGCAGTTGCTCAGTATCACGATGTCCTTGTGTCCCTCCTTGCCCTTTGTCCTCATCCTTTCTATCCTGGATACCTACATGCTTCCAGCAATCCCTGCTTGTTAATATTCATCTCTTCTCCATATTGCTTGTGAATATATTAAACTCTGAGATATTTGCCAGCTCCCATCCTGGGAGCACCCTCCTGCCATGAGTGCAGTCTCAACACTGCAGCTGCTCTTTCCTTGCCCCACCTCTCTAGTCTGGTTTTCTTCACTGTGTGGAGCACATGGGCAAAGTCATTCTCAGAAGCTGCTGTGATGGGGAGCATGTACAAAGTTGCTTTCATCTTTTGTGCAATGCTGTTCTAAAGAGAATCAAATACTTATTAAAATTGATGAAAGGTAGTATTTGATTCAATGATTTTGATGTTAGTTTATATTTGATTTTGGTTTTCACTTTGGTATCACATGCTTTACTTTTAAATACAATGGGTTTTAGTGATAAAATGCAAAAATCTCCAAAAACCCAAATCCAGTAATCTAATGCCAAAGGGAGAAAAAAGGGACAGGAAAATCTAAAAATGACAGGTTGCACAGGATAGGTATACATTTGTTTATATTTTTGAAATTTAACTTGAAAAGAGAATTTTTTTATTATTGCTATCTGTTGGCTACTTTTCTTAGTTACTTGTTTTTCTCTTCTCATATCTGAAACCACAGCAGAAATTGTTGCAAATGATAGTGTTTTGTGCTGAAGGTGTAACATGGGGAGAGCACTGCTCTCTTTCTCTACAGGGAAGAGCTCCCATATGAACTTAATTCTAAGTTGATGAAGGGAATTATCAGGAAAAAGCAAACTCCCCCATTTTTTTCTAACCTAAGTAGTATGGATTTGAAGATTCTCTCTCTGGATGATGAGTACCATGATGCTGGTAGAACAGAGTCTCTTTGGAGGTTATAATTTCCGTGCACTGAGGCTTTTTTGGAAGTTAGGGATCAGCACAGATACCTGAACAGCTGGGCTTTATCCCAGTATTTCTGTGGAAACTGGACAACAGGTACTAGCAGCTCCTGTCACTCTGATGGTGACCCTGCAGTTGTCAAACCAACCATGGGGGCTTGGAGGAGCTCTTCTTCACTTGGGTCACACGCTTTTCTGTGTGAGAAGGATTTCTCTTTTTTTTGTGCTTAACTTTAGGAAAATGGTTACATTTCTGTGCTGTATTAAAAATATTTCTTTTTACAGCAAATCTGGAGAAGTTTGAAATCCCAGTAAAGATCCGTTTGAGCCCTGACCCCTGGACCCCAGAGACTGGTCTGGTGACAGATGCGTTCAAACTAAAGCGCAAAGAGCTCACGGCGTTCTATCAAACGGACATTGACCGAATGTACGGGAAAAACGGCAAATAATCCTCCCTGCACCACTTGGCTACCATGAGCTTGGATCAAATAGGAAATACTTGAATTGCCTGTCTCAACTCAACACTTGAGATCAACACACAAAACCACCATTCCTCATTTCCAGCTTAAACTGTTCTTTCTAATGACGTCACCATGATGACTGGCAAGTTTAGTAAAATGTTATGGCAGCAAACTTGTGTCTGTCTCCTTTTTTCCAGTTTTCTCTGCTACCTTGTCAGTCTGTGGATTTTCCCGGGTCTTTTTGGGAAACCATGATTCTGAAGCCTCAAGTTTTTAAACATTTATAAATCCTGTATAATGTTTTATTTGTATCTTTAAAATTTGGATGTATATAGAGAGGACTTGGCTATATAAGAAATGGTTATACTGGGGGCCTTTTTTTACCTAATTATTTAAAGATAAGAAGGTATTGATGTTGTGACATTATGTACATTGAAAATGCTTGTTACAAGGTAATTGTTGACCAGAGGACCAGGTTATTTGCTGCTGTGCTATTTTTCTATGTAAATCTGAGGGAGAAAATGTTTGACATTCCAGCTTGTGTAATACACCTTCAATATGTGCCTAATGGTTACTTTTATTTTTATCTGAAAGTGGAAAGATGGTCGTGGCACAGCTCTGCCTCAAGGCAGGTATTCTTGCAGGTGTTAGTTAAAGCTCTTTTAATACAGAAGATGCTATTAACACAGAAGAAGTTAGACCTAAGAATAATCTCTCAGATACAGAAACTCCTTTTTTAAATAGCTCGTGACCATTTCATCCAGAGCTGAATTGTGTAGTGCTAATATGAACTCTCATTAATTTCATCTAACACTTTAGAAGCTTGACTGTGTCCTTCTAGCAAAGGGACTGTAGCAACCTTTGTCTTTTCTCATTAGGTTTGGACATTACAGTGGGTTTGCTCTTTCGTTGTTTATGAAGGTTTGGCAAGACCCCTGCTCTGCCCTAGCTGCAACCCAAATCTTCCTGGGGGGGATTTTTAAAGTCATAATGACAGTTATGTTCTCAGCTCACACAGTGCCTAGCTGCCCTTTGTGCCATTAAAAATCTCCCTTTGATTCTCTGTTCTTTCGTGTAGTACTTTTTGCATTAAAAGCAGATATTTGAAGCATTTGTCAGCCAGAGTTATTTATGTTGCTTGGTTGTTACACCTAATTCTTACTTTGGGAAGGAGTCTCAATTTCTGTTTCAGTAGAGATTCATGGATATTGTTTGAACAAATGTGGGGACTCTTCTCCAGTGAGAGTGTTCAGATTTGTTTCAGATGTGAATTTTATTTTCAAAATATTTCTGGAAATAATAATCAGGGTTACGTGAGAATGTGAAAAGGCATACATCAGTCAACTTTGTGGTGAAGCAAATACTAAAATGGCTTTAATCTGGAGATTACTCTTGTGTGTATCGTTTACTTGTAGTACTAAAACTCAAGGTCCTGATGCTCACGTAGTGCCCTGCTATGGTAGCACATAGCAATGCTGAAGGCCAGAAGCTTAGTTTGGGAGAGGGAGTTCCTGCTGTTTGTCTTTGTGACATGAGGTTCTGGGAGGTATTTGATGTGCAAATTCTCATTTTATTAACCTCTGAAATTTTTCTTTTTAATTAATGCTCTCCACTGATTATAGAAAACAGATGCATAGGAGTTGAAGGTTACCAAGCAGGTTCCCTGATGAAATGATGAGGTGGCTTGTACTAATTATGGATTTCCCCTGCTGCTGTCCATGAAAAACTGTTAGCATTTGGTAAATTTGGTGTAAGTAATCAAATGGAAATAGAAGCAACAGAAAGAAATCAGAACCATATTTTTAAGATTACTGCCTTTAGATATCCAGATCATAAATTAAAACCTTGTGGCAAAAAGAGATAAGGCAAATGTTGAAAAATGACTGAAGAACTCAAATGTGGAAAAATTGCCAAGGCTGTAGGGAAGTGTCACACCATGTATTAGACATTACTAACACTTACATGTGTATCTGTGCTCCATCAACAAGTTCTTAAATAGAACTCAGCACAGACTGTACATTGTTCAAATATTTTTGTGACTTTTAGTGAAAATTAATAAATTGCTGAAGTACTATGTATATCAATTGGTGCGTTGTGCAGCAGATTTAAGAAAATAAATCTGCTTTTGGTTGAACAAATCTGAATTTAGTATTTTATTCTGCTAAGGGTTTAAATCCCCTTTTGAGAAATCCATAAATGAGACTTCTAAAATGGTTTGGAATAGTACTTTTCTTTTTTCTAATCCAGTCACAAGATGGGGTTGCTGTCTAACTGTGCATTTGATTTTACCATTCAGTTTTTTTATGTTTAAAATTGATGTGATATATATAGTTCCTCTTTCATTAGGCATCAGATTCATTGTGGACATTTATTTCTTCTACAAAATGTGAAAACAAAGCAGTTCATTAAGTTTAGTCTCAGCGCTGGAGGTAGAAATACTTTTTTAAAAACCTTTGTGATGAGTATGGGGTTTTTCCTTTTGATTTATAGCAAGAGACAGACTCCACTACTGCTGGGTTGTGAGTACTTCATGTCCCTCTGAGGCCACCTGTGCTGTGACGGGGCTGTCATGGGATGTTCAGTCAGGCTGCAGTTCAGCTGTGGGGCTCCCTCCCTGCTCCCGCATTGCTGAGCACAGGGACAGCTTTGGAGGCGTTTGTTCCAGCCCTGCAGACATGCACTGCTTGCCAACTGGGAATTCCTCTCCATATTTTTTAATTTTTTTTTTTCTGTTTGTTTTGGTTTTTTGTTTGTTTTTGTTTTTTTGGTGTGTCTTCCCATGCCCTGTGTGACAAGAACAAAAGTACCTGCTGGAATGCACTGCACTGTCCCAAAGGCTGTGGGCAGCTGTACTGAACTGGGAAGTGTGTGTTTGGGAGGAGTGGTGCCTGTCACGTGGGGGATTTTGTAATGGAAAGAGCTGGAACTTTAAACAATCTGAGTTCAAACTAAGAGCAAGGGGCATATACCTCACCTGAAAGGCCCCCAAAAGGGGGGATTTTTAACAAAACTTTTGTAAATAAATACTTACCAGGTCTCTGAATCATTGAAAATTTGAGCTACTTACTCTCTTGTGAAAATCTATGTATTTCATTATTAAAATGGTTGACCAAGAAATTCCAGGGATGATGTGAATATCTTTTAAGATTCACAAGTCTTTAAAAAACTTCCAGGACTTTAGGCTATCATTCATTCTGGATATAAGTGTTCTTTACAGAGTGTAGCAGTGGGTGAGAATTTGCAAAGTTGCATGTCAGAAAACTGTGTGTTTGCTGCTGCAGGTCTCACAGAGGCAGGAGCACACCTCCAAGGGGAGCTGTAGCTGAGCAGGGAAAGATTCTGCTGAAGTGGAGGTGAAAAGCAATGTGTGACTGGAGCCAAGAACATGACAGGTGCCTACATCCACTGCTGTACAGACAGGGTGCAGAGAAGGATATGGAATCTAAACCATACATTAGGAACACTCTGTAAAGCCCCTTAGTTTATGCAGAAATTGCTATAGGACATAAAACTCCTTTGCAATAACCTTTGTCTTGCTAAAATTCACAAAATTTTTATTCTGTTCTAAAACTACGTTTAGGCGATACAATGCAGCATTTTTAATTTTTGTTACTGTGATGTATTAACTACTTTGGACTCGGTATAAAATTGTACATCTCTTTCTTTACTGGTGAGGGGAACAATTTTCAACTTGCCTACACCTTGGACCAGGCTGAAATGTTAATTGAATGACCAATTGTATATTGCTGTAATGGGTTATTTAATGTAAACTCATTTTCAATGTGATCTTGGTTGTTACTATGAACTGCCTGAACATTGTATATCCTAATTGAGTTATATTGTATGAATTATTTATTTGTAATTGGATATCATGTTTCAAAAATAAAATTAATTTCACAAATTGGGTTCTGTACATCCAGTTTTTTTCAGTGGTACAGAGTTGATAATAAAGAAATGTGTAGGTATTGTCAAATGTTTCAGATACGTGTGACGATTTTGGAGTGAATGCAGGAGCAGGAGTTACCAGGTTAGCCTGGATTTTCACTGCAGGAAAATTAATCATCTTTGGTCAATTTTTATTTGCATATAATCTACCATTTACCTGTTTTTAAGAGTACTCATTGTAAGTAATACCTGATGAAAAACTGTAGGCTTATGACATTTTTTCATTTCTAAGTGTACTAGGACTTGTATTTAGTATGTAATTCTCCTTAAGTTTGTGTGTTGAAGGTCAGATACTAGATGCTTGCAATTGGACTTGTTAAGAGATCTTAAATTTCAAGTTTTGATTACAAGCTCACAAAGCATTGTTGGTAACAGTCCAGCCTGGAGGCATCTCAACAGAAGCCTTTTTCCCTTTTTTGTCTCTATTTACAGGTTCCCCAAATGCCCAGGGTTGTAGTGCTGACAAAATGTCAAATCTCACTTGCTGTATAGCTGATATTTTTGTTTATCCCTTTAACCAGCCATGAGAAGGCTGCAGCTTCCTCTAGATTCAGTTATATCCAAGGTGTTTATTTTTTTTCTTTCAAAAATACTGGGGGATTTTAAGACCGAAAACTTATTTCAAATCATTTAGGCTAATATTATTCGCTTTAACTGTTTTTTTTGTTTTTCTGTTAGACATTTATAGCTAATAAAATGCTGTTAGGGATCTCTTTAATAAAGACAAATAAATAGGTTCAGAGCTATTATAATGGGTATTTATTATAGCAGTTAATTTCAGGAAGTATAAATGTGACCAAAGCAGAAAATATGTTAATGTAGCTATTAGAGAGACATGGAATCCAGAATAGATGCAAATAAAAATACAAATAAAAACACTGTAGACCTGAGTTGCTATTATTGTCTACAAAAAAATCCACGGGTGACAGCAGGGAAAGGGAGACCCAAACAGTTGAAAAGGTGAGTAATTTTTTTAAAAAACAGTTGTAATATTTGGGAATAATATTTTCTGTCTGACACAGACCCAGCTGCACTGGCTGGAGCAACAGCAGCTGTGGGTGGCTGAAAGATTCAGCGTGTTGGCAAGTGTTTTCTCTACTCTAGATAGCTGTGGCTTTTAGCAAGTAATGTCTCTGATTTGAATCCCAGATTTCATTATATGGACTGGCTTCAGCATTTCATTCTTGCTTTATGTGCAAGCCAGTGCTTGTTTTAGCTGCCTCACTGCCCAGCGTAGAGACCTTGCACAGGGCTGGCCATCGGGGCACTTCCATCCAGAGGTGGTGCTGGGTGGGCATCCCCAAACTGCTCTCTGCTCCCCTGTGCTTGGTAAAAAAGCAAACATTTGTTTCCTCGTTGGGAGTTGGGTGGGTTCAGTTTCCTGGGAGCCCAAAAGGACAGTGCAGCCTGTCATGCATGAAATGTCAAAAAGATGATTTATATCAGACTTCAGGGGTACTCAGCATTGCCAAGTGCAACAGCAGGAAAAACCTCATACCATATTTGAGCCCCTAGCCCCTGAATTTCCATCTATTCCACTGTACCCTTTCCCACTTTATTACAAGTGTGTATTTATTTCTTTGGAACTGTAATGCCTTCTATTTGTGGCAAGGTTGGGTAGGTTGTTTGGGTTTTGTTTTGGTAATTATTTACAGGTAATTGAGAGACAACTTTATGAATGTAAGAGTTAAACTCTAATGGAAAAGTTTATATGGCTTCCCACTGATGTGCAATCACAGTAGTGTTTGGCAATGAGCCTGGTGGCTGGTGACCTTTATTCCTCTGAAAAGGTGAGATTTTGATGTAGATCTTCACATTGAGTAAGTTTCCTTACATAAAGTAAATTTCCATCAGGTTTCTGCTACTTTATGCTCCTAGAGAGGTTAAGGGAGAAAGAAGCATAATTTTGAAATATAAAATCTTTAATAGCAAAAGCAACTGTCTATCAAATAAAATTAATTGTATCCCAACCTGGTAAAACATCCTGGATGCTTAACTATTAATACAGGCTTTGAGTTTGAGCTTTATCTTAATAATGCTGGTCAGATACAGTTCATTTTTTTTGAAATAAGATTTGTATCAGGAATTTTTCAGCAAACTCTCTATTGTTGATACATTTCCTAGTATCATATTTGTATAGTTGTTTTTAAATCATGCATGTAGCTTACAAGACTGAAGAATGGTTTGGAAAGTGTATTTCCTGTTCTGTAGTGTAGTTGGAAGATAGGTTGTGGATGTTTAACAAGCTGCAAGGAAGCTATTTTCTCAAACCCATTAAGCATTTTATGTTTCATCAGTTCTCTGGATCTCACACAGGTTTACTGGGTATTGCTGCCAGGTTTCTTGGAAATGAAGAGATTTTGCTTAATTTTGTTGCAATGCAGGACTTGGTTTGTTCCAGCTAAAGCAGCGTAACATAATTAGCAGGAAGGCTGAGAATGCCAATGAGCAATCTGGCCTGTTCAGCATCACGTCCTCGTTCCTCCCCTTGCCAAAGTTGGGCAAGAGCTGTGAAACGATAGGAGAATCAAAAAAGGGAGACCTTTCAAGAGTAATTTCTGTATCAAGATGTGTTGATGAGTTATTGAGTGCAGCTCCATGGGCAAGCATTGTGTAGGTGACCTGAAACAGGGCAGATTGAGGGCCAGAAGGTTTTGGGTTGTCCCTTCCTGGGGCAGGCCACCATGGAGCTTCGGGGGGATGATGGTTTCTGCTGAACTCTTTGATGTCTCTCCAAGGATGTTATAAGTAAAATGTGCTTAAATTTCTCTCAGAAATTCTTTTCGTTTTTATTTGAAGTCAAACTTCTGAAATATTTCTTTAAAAGTAGCTCCCATATAGTTATTCCTTCATGTACTTAGTAAAGGATTATCTGAGGTTTTCCAGGACTGGCAGGTGTCAGGTCTGGTTGAATATGCCCCCTTGTGTTTTGCAGTAATTTTCCTAATGTTTTCATAAATAGATGAGATTTGGGACTTTCCCCAGATTTTTCCCTGTGCTACTAAGGGATACTTGTTTTTAAACCATTTTTCCATTTCCTTTTATTAGTTTTATTTTCTACCAGTAACTTTTCATTATCCCATGGGCTGATCAGCTCTTTCTGGCATGCTTTTTTTCCCATAACTGATATTTTGTTTTTTTAAATTGTTTTATAGAATTTATAACAGATGTAGAGAAAATGGATTGCTTCTACAAGAAGGCATGATGCTCTCTGTAAGTCTTGACTGGCAGAGATTTCTAGACAGGATTTTTTCTGAAATGCTGGAACAGTGAGGCTGTGGCTGCCAAGTGTCACCTGCAACAGCTCAGGGCACCGTGCAGGTGTGTCCATACCCTGTCTTTGTGGTCCTTGTGGAAGGGTGAGCTAATTTGGGGGAGAGAAAGAACTCCATTTGAGAAATGCCTGCCATGAAAGCAAAGCTTTGCTGTCCTCAGCCTCTGGCTTGAGGATTTGTGAATAGCCAGTGTTACTGGTCTGTAGCAGCCTCAATTCAGTGG